TATGACCCAGCTAACAAAAATATGTTCCAAGAATGTTGTGTTTCCGTTAAGTTACGAAATTGTTATTTCGGAATGTTCGCTGAACGTCCAAACCATTTTTTAGTTATGTGAATGTTAGAGAAAACTTTAAGGGAACATTCAATTTTATCATTTTGCAAACATTATGGGAAAGCTACTTTCGGATGTTACGTAAACCATCTGAAACTTTTAACTTGTATTAAAAGCTGTTTAAATTGTTTAAAAACAGAAGAATGTCCAACTAAAATGTTTCAGAAAACTTGCATGAATGAAAAATTTTCCATGAATGATATTGTATATATTGTATGAATGTACACGTTTTTGTTTTAATGTTTTGAGAACATTATTAAAACAACAATCGTTCTATTAATGTCACTGTAAGAATGTTTATTTAGACTGTAACTTTGAGAGATCTTTGCTAGAATATTACCCAAAGTTCTGAGAACATTCTCTGTTAGCTGGGGAGCTGCACAGGTATTTTGTAAGACAGAAAGGGAAAAAACTGAGATCAACAATAAATCAAATGGAAGTGAAAGAAGCAATTAGAAGAAGAGCTCCATAAAATGGAGATTAAAACCCAAGAAAGAAACTAAATAATTTAAAAGACATTTACCGGGTAACCGTCTCGCCCAGGTTTGCCCTGTGCAAAGAAAAATGAGATATAATAAATAAATATAGACCTATGGTAGGTTAAAAAAGATTACAAATCTCAAGGTAATCTAAAGAGAATCTATGTTCAGTTTCATGAAAAAAGGTACAATTTTCAAATTTTCTAAATTCAGTGTGATAAAAAGTAAATTACTGTAAACTATTCTCATTAACCAATCTGATCTTGAAGAACATACTTACACTTTCTAAAACTTCCGCAAAGTAAATCTCTGTTTTATGGGTTTATTAGTTGGATTAACAGCACTTTGCAGGATTATAAATGAAAACTTCAAGTGTTTTAGGGTTTCTTTACATTGCAATTGACTTCAGAGTAAATAAACTGGTGGACCTCTGCTCTACTGAAGACCAGAAACTAAACGTGAAAGTTAGCAAACCAACCTAAACTGTTAAAATGTTGAAAGCTGTCACATAATTTGACATCTGCAAGCATGTAACAGATGAACAGATGAAATCTTCATGACAGCCTGTTCAAATATGGATTAGAAGTTACATATCTGTTTGCAACAAGGTGTTGATGGCGTGGTTTTAACCTAAATCTAAAGCAGGTGACAGACAGTCTGCAACCTGTTCTTACACTGTGTTACACTTTTGTTGGATACCAGAACTTTAATGCGGGTTTTGAATATTCTAGAACTTTAATATCAGAAGCACCAGATCTTCTAAAGCGGTAGACTTTCAGCTGCTCTGAAGTGAATATTCCAGAACTTTGTTCTTTAAGCTTTATTCTGGAATCTCAAAAGAATGTTCATTTTTCAGAAGTTTAAATTTGAAGGTTCTGGAAATTTAAAGTCAGACAAACTTGGTGCAAATATTCAGGATGTATGAAAGATTCCAGAACTTGAAGGCCCTTTCTCAGGTTTTATGACTCACCCTTCAAACGTTTTGTCAGCCTTACCACAATACAGAGCCCATATCTGCCTAATATCATTATTTTGAAGTGTGAGGACAGGGTACTTACTGGGGGTCCTGAAAAATAAAAGAACAACAACAAACAGACCTTTAAAACAATTCAAATGTTTAATAACACAAAATCACACTTCTACTCTTTTAACAAAAAGGTAAACCTCTAAACCTTATTTTTAATGTTCTTCAGGTTGTCTGAAATGTTCATCAGGTAGGTGTTATGACCCTCAGAGGAGACAAAGAAGTTTAAAAGATGTGTTGAGGTTTTATGAGGCAGAAAGTTGTTGGCGTATTGGCGTATTTACTCACGTCTAGACGCTGGCAGACTCTTAAGAGTTTAAAAGATAACATTCACTCAGCACAGTCAAGTTCTGACCATTGTGAACGAAATGGCTTCACCATTTGGAAAGCATTTAGGAGTGAGATGTTGAAAGAGAAAAATAATGAGAGTGTGTTTTACGGTTTAATTGAGCACATCAGAATTGTTTAGCAAAATGTTTAATCTTTTAATTGACAAGGGTTCTAATTAAACGAGCACTTTTAACGATTGAACTATCATGGATGTATACGACCAGCCTAATGTTTGTGCTGATTAGACTGCTAAATATCTTCCAGCTTTCCAACCATATTTTCTCCCTCACACTAGAGAAACAAACAGACTGTTGTGCAACGGAGAGCCTCTTCCTCCATCCACCTCCACATTCGACTCTTCCCGCCTGCTTTACGGCCCAAACTACAACAAGCAGGCGCAGCTAAACAGAACCACATCTAGCAGACTTAGTGACAAAACGACCCACTATCTCTATGTAAATAAAGTGCTCTGCCAACGTTTGAAGTTCCTCTCCCAGGGCAGCGGGGCTGGAACAAGTTTGAAAAACAGATGTAAAGAATTGCCATGCTGTCCAAATGCCAGTTGTGTGGGAACGCCGCAAACCCAGATTTAATCGGATATGGTCAGAAGGTGAATATAGGTTCTGCTGTACAAACTGTACACATTATTCAAAGATAATCTTATGGCATACTCGAGGTAATGGTGAGACATCATTTGGACACCTTCTTAAGCTTCACAAGCTGTACTGACAGCTTCTTCCGCAAGTGATGCGACACTGAATCATTCTTTTAATTAAAACCTCTCTCAATCTGTGCCCTTGACAGCCATGTGTGTCTACAGCACAGCTCACTTAGAAATACATCAGCATCTTTATTTGTATGGCCAAGTCATCATCAGTCTTGAGTTTAATACCTCTGAATCATCTGAGGGTCTACGGTGACTCAAAACCACATTCAGTGAGGACTTCCTCCCAGTCACATCTAATGATTATGAATTAGGGACACTAGTAACAATGTTTATAGAAAAGTGCTAGACATCAAGCATGAGGAACATAAATTAAGAGATCGCACTCACCAGGGTCGCCTCTTCTGCCCATCCGTCCACGTTTCCCAGGAGGACCTGAAGTCAAGAAAGATGCGTAATGACTTAATATCTTACATAAAACGTATGTTTTTAATTATTACATTTTTTTTTTTGGGAATTTATTTGACTTCCATTTACAAGTCATTACTGAGATTTCTGAATATATGGATTCATTAAAATGATTTTCCCATCAGATGATTGTAGAATCCTGTGTGAATGCAGAGCTGAAGTTGTAATGAACTTTCAAATATATGTCAGTTCCACAAAGAAATGTCTGGGTTACATTAGACAGCACAATCAAATCAAAACGTTAAAACATTTATTGTACATTTTAGTAGATTTTAATTTGATATTATTTTCATGACAATAAAAAAATTCTCATTATAGTAATGCAGCAATTAGCTAAATTTAGTTTTGGTTAAAATTATCTTGTATTTTTATTTAATGTATATTTTATTCGTTTCAGATCAACGACAATTGGTAGACCCCCTGTTAAAGACTCCTGCTGTAATTTAAAAAAACCTGATTCTCATTAAATGTAATATAGTAATGAAAATCATCTTACCTAGACAAAAAGATTTTTAATATAAATAATAAAAATTGCATGAATTAAATTCAGTACAACAAATGCTATGATGTGTTTTTTTAGAATTGTACTTCACAGTTTAAATAATATATTTTTTGTTGTTTTACAGTAATGAATGAGATTTTTTTCCCGCACCAAAACAGCATACTGACAATGGGAGAGGGGAGTTTCAATTTGCTTAATTTTCATTAAAGTGGTCATGAACTGAGAAACCAAAATGTCCTTGATCTTTTGACATATAAGAGGTCATTGCACTATAAAAACTTTGTCGTTAATCTAAAAACAGCTTATATTGAAGGCAGACTGCCAAAACGACAGAATGTGGAATGTACAACTCTATGATGTAATACCATGGATAAGCACTGCCTCCGCAGCTTTAGATCAACATCACTTCCTGTTTAGCCCCGCCCACCGATTCACGCACGTAGTGTTTACGAGAGAGGCGAATGTGCAGGACTACGAAACCAAACAATAAAGATTGCTCTGAAGACAACAAGACTCTGTGCAGCGCCAAGTTGAGGAAAACAGCATTTGCGTTGCCTTTCTTCTGATCCTAACGTTAGACGTAGTTTAAAGTAGTAACAAACAAGGCACAATTTGACGGAGGATTCTCAAAAAGATTGAAACTAAAAGACTATGCTGTGCTCACTATATTGGATCCAACAGTAATGTCGTAACACAAGCGTGAGTAACCGTTTTCATTACGTGCCACTATTGCTTTGTCTCTTCTTACAGATTGTTTGATATGTATTGAGTTATTTATGCGTTTTTGACCTAAATCACAGCAGTGTACACTGTGTACGAATGTACACTGTCAAACATACACAACTCTTAGCCAATCATAGCAGTGGGCGTTTACTTCTGGGTCTACAATCTGCCACGCCTATTCAAACAAGAGCGTTCTGATGAGGGGGGTTAAAAACAGGACAGAAAATAGCTTATTACTTCTAAATTATGTTTTTCGATGTAAAAATCTTGATAACATTATAAGTGGACCTCAGAGAACAGTACAATATAAAAAACAGAGGCCGTTCATGACCCCTTTAAAAAAATATATCATAATTATAATCTAAATATGTAACTATTTTCTTTATGCTAAATATCATTTCTTATTTTTTCATTTGAGTTTGAGGTGAAATATGACCTGGACATGCTGTGACAGTTTTCATGAGATTCACACTAACAGAAGTCCATAGGATCCAAACTTACGCAGGAACTTGACCTAGGCAGTAGAAAGGTTTAAAAACAGCACTGCATGTGTGATGCAGAAACCAGGACAATTTCAGCATAAATGATGGAAACAATCTGGATTAGGTGCAAATCCATTGTTCACAGACAAATGCAGATGAAGTATGCATATCAGTGCACCTCGCATCACTTCCTGTTCGTGTATATGTAAGTCAGAACAAAGCGACCAAGGGCATACCTCCCAGACGGTAGCCAGGCCCCCCTCCTCTCTGTTCCCCTGGTTAACCGATTAACCCCCCTTCTCTCTGTCCCCTGGGCACTAAATCACTTCCATCAACCTCTTTCCCTCCTCTCTTCTTTAGGTACTGTGAAATAGAAACCATACCTGAGCGAGGCAGGAGAGGGGGATGCTGGGATGCTAACGAGCTCGGGTCGCAGACACACTTTTCTTGTTGGCATTATTGTTATTGTTCTAGGTTAATCAACCCCTGCTGGTTCAACCCCTATTAGAAAGATTGTCAAGAAAGGGTCTCAGGGTTTCACTTCCCCGGTGCGGTTCGCATTACGAAATCTAGAGCATCCGGCATCGTTATTGGAATGTTCAAGGTACAATTCAACTTAAAGGAACAGTTCAACCAAAAATGAAAATTTGCTGAAAATGTACTCACTCTCAGGCAATTCAAGAGGAGGATGAGTTTGTTTCTGTTTTGGAACAGATTTGGAGAAATTTAACATTATGAATCCTTTGCAGTGAATGGGTGCTGTCAGAATGAGAGTCCAAAGTCCAAACAGCTGATAAAAACATCACAATAATGCACAAGTAATCCACACAGCTCCAGACCATCAATTAACTCTTGTGGAGTGAAAAGCTGTGTGTTTGTAAGAAACCATTCCGTTATTAAAACATTTGTAACTTAAAACCATTGCTTTCAGTTTAAATTCAAGTCCTCTATCCATAAAATTGCTTTCTCCAGTTTATGCCAAACACGTGGTTTTTCACTTCACAAGATGTTGGACTGGAGTTGTGTGGATTATTGTGATTTTTTTAATCAGCTGTTTGGACTCTCATTCTGACGGCACCCATTCACTGCAGATGATCCACTGGTGAGCAAGTGATGTAATGCTACATTTCACCAGATCTGTTCTGATGAAGAAACAATCTCATCTACATCTTGAATGACCTGAAGGTGAGTACATTTTCAGCAAATTGTAACTTTTGGGTGAACTATTCCTTTAAACTCTATCTGACATGTTGTTGATTAACACAGAAAATACATTATACATGTCTGTCAGTTTGTAAAAACATGCTAAAATTAAGTTTATACTCGTAATGAAATTAAAATCTATTCAGCAAACTGTGTACTAACCAGGTGTTTCCTGCAATTTTTCTATCCATTATAAATTTAAAATCAGTGTGTGGCAAAACACAATTACAGCCAGAAGTCTTGGTGAGACTTTTTTCCAAAACGTTAAAAAATTCTTATCAACCTCAAACTTTTGAACAATATTGCTTGTTAACTTCTAATTATCAACTTCTGTTTATTCCACCATCCTGACCAACATGGCAACAAAACCTGTTTGAAATCAAGCAGTCATACAATTCCATTTACTGCCGCTGAAATTACACACTTCACCTAATTGTTTTAGCAAAAATTAGCTTCACATTACTGCTTTGAAATCTCACCAGGACAAAGTGCACTGTTGAATTCAGTTGTAAATACATAAGTAAACAGTTTGTTTTTACAAACTGAGGAACTTGTTGAAGTTATTATCCAATGTAAACACCAGGACCTTATTGATGTTTAAATTAGAAACTGAACTCAAACTTGTATGAAACCTGTAACATTCTTTCCAGCGGTTAAAGGTCACTGTAATAAGTGTATTGGAAGTTGCTTTCTACAAACCTGTCTGCTCTTTAAGATGCACTTTCAGCCTTTATCTTCAAACATTCTCTTTCTATTGCTCTCTCATGTGGTCTGTTCTATATCATATACGGCTTTCAGCTCAACTTCCCCTATTGTAATGACGTCCCAGGGTTTGTGTATGATAACACAAATCATTGTCAACATAGTGAAAAGAGTGAGCCGTGGCTTCATCTTTGAGCTCTTCTGGCTTACTGCACTACACACTATCACGTTACAAAAGACCAAACCACAACGGCTATAAATACAAGTGTAACTATGTTCTTCACCAGCAGAGCCCATAAACACTATGAGGAACTGAGGCTGACGGCTCAATGCTGAAGATGCAGACGAAAGGGGCCTCTCGTGCTTTTTATCTGTCAGCATTTGATGAACTGTCTCATGGACAATTATCGTAACAGTAACAACTGCGAGATTAAAAACTTGAATCTGGATGCAATCGAGGTCTCCGGGGTTTTAAATATCTCCTATGTTCTCCCCTATAGCTGTCCCGTTACATTAACATTAAGAAATCGGATAATTGAGGTGTATCATTATTCTCAGCTTTGACGATCTAACCGCTCGAATTCCGATCCTTATCCGATCGAGAAGGTCTGGTTCTTATAGTCACGCATAGGCTTGATTTAGCTACTGTGACATTTTGTCTTAAACTAATGAAAACGTCATTGTTTTCCTCCGACTTTGTGTTGGGCGCAACAACTGTTCGTAATAAGCGTCAACAGTGAAATCACAGAATTCGATCCTCTCAGTTTCTAAACCACAACTGTGTTTTCCTCTCCAATATCCCTCGTTGACAAAATTAAAGTCTAAAAATGGAAAGGAAATGAAATTAATACCAGAATGTGTGTGTGGTTTCTGTTGGGGTTACACTGTGCAACCAGCCCTTTTACACAGCCCTTTGTCCTAGGAAAATTTAACGTAATCTGTCTAACAGGAAATTCACACATTATCCTATTATTAAATTATCCAACACTGGTAACTTAATAAAATAATATATTGAACTTAAACCAGTTCCTCTACATACCTATAGAAAAAACAACCACAAAATGGTTGAAACCACTAACTTTAAATGGGTAGTTGATTAATAACCCGGCTTATTAAAGTTAACCTAACCTAAAACCATTAAAAATGTTACTTGAAATAAAATAAATGTTAACTGAAATAAAATGAAATATATCAAACAAAACCATAAACTTTTTGCTATCTCCTCATTTTCATTTATTTGAACTTGAAGTATTAAAAAAACTAAAACTACATAAAATAAAACTAATAAATAAAAATGCTAACACTTTAAATTAAGGCCCTATTAGTTATGCATTAACTAACATTAACTAACAATG